ACCAATTCCAGTTTATGCACCTTTAAATTTACTGTCTTTTTATCAGAAGATGCTGATAAATAAGGATTTAGGTGTCTAACTTTAGGCACCCGACTTTGAAAATTTGGCTTAAGTGACTTGCCTATTCGTTCTTATGCTGCATTCCCTCGAGTTCATTATCTATCATTTTTGTGTAGACCCAAGGATTTGTGCCATACAGACCAATTATTATTTTATAATCTTTGTTTAAGGTGAAGGAAGAAAAGCTCAGATATCCTGTGGTTTGCAAATGCCACGTACTCTCCCTGGGTTTATCACTCAAAGAGAAAGCACAAAGAACACAAAAACTGAACCCAGAGGTGCTGTGTGACTTACATCTTTATTAACAAAATTAAAAGCTAATCCCAAATTAACATTATCTTTATCCATGGGCCAAAACCAGAACCATTTATCTGATCCTACCAAACTTTAGAGCACAGATAAAATGGGATGTGGATTTTTTATTCTCAATTTTTATTCTGCAAAATCATAACCTGGCTAATGAGATTTTGCAAAATGAACCTGTCTTTCTTGTAGTTATTTTGATTTGATTGCAAATCTTGATATATTTGATCTGATTGCATTGCAAAGATTACAAATTCATATGTTTAGATGCAGGGTTTTGGTTCAAGCCCATTGTTTTGCATAGACTGAAAAGTCAAACATGGGGAATAAAAAGCATTCTATTTTTTTTCCTAAGAACTAATAAAGCTATAGGGTGAAATCCTGGCCCCATTAAAGACAACAGCAATTTTGCTATTAACTTCAGCTGGGCCAGGTTTTCACCCTCAGTCTCTACATGAACATTGAAACAAAAAGTACAGGTAGGTTTTTCACAGCACCCAACTCTTAAAAGGAGCAGACACAGATTATCTCCCAACAATATAGAATTCTGCTTGTTGGTCCCAATATAGCCATGCTTTTATGGTGACTTTTTCTGTTGTGGTTGCTGAGTGAGACAGCAAGAGGTAGCAAAGATTGACCCGTTTTACAAGACAGAGGACATTGATGTGGCCCAAGGGGAGCTGCCCTCCCCACCTGAAACTAACCAGATTTCTCAGTCATTTGTGTTAAAACAAAAGCCAGCCTCCTTTCCTTGTCTTTGTGCATGCCTACCAACTGAGGAAGATCTAGATAATGTACTGAGAAATGCCTGAACATCAATCATGACACAATAATTAACCAGACCACATATTGTACAAGTTCTTACCCCAAATCCATTTCAGATGAAGAGAAAATCCCAGTCTGGTATTTTGCCTATCACACTCACAGATGAAAAATATTAGCTAAATCAGCATTTAGAGTCTGGCAGACAGAGAACTCCTACAGTCTGCTAATTCACTTGTAGTCAAGAACTTGAAATGGATTTCTGTGTCCATTCAGCACAGCCTTTGAAATGTGAGATGAGCCACAACCGGATGATTGTATCCACCTGATATGAAGCCCAGCTCCAGTACCTGAACTCAGAAGAACATGGAATGTACCAAAAATATTAATCTTGCCCATTATGCCACTGCAGCCAGGTTTAGGAATAGTTAAAAATGGTAAGCAGTGAAGGTATCTAAAAAAAATGCAGCAGGAAACATGCTCACCCTTCCCCTTCCAATGCCCCCATCATTGCACTCAGGGAGAGGGATGGTGGAAACCACAAATGTTATTTTGTCCAGCTGGAGAAGATGGACTATTTCAGCAAGAATACCTTCAAGAAAAATATGGGTGAGTGAAATATTATTCCTTCCTTTCTCATCAGTTTGCATCGGCATCATAGTCTAGGGCAGTTTTTGTGCCTGTGCTGATAAATTTTCATGGCAACTTTGCAAGGCTAAAATTTTCTCACTGTATATCTGGGAGCAGATTTATTGCTGAGGAAAGACATCACATTGTCATCCCTGGGACCTGATTTCCTCTACTTATTTATAGAACAGGGATAGCATAAGTAGCAGTGCAATCTTTCCCAACCCTCACCCACATGCCTCATTCTTGACTAGGGGATGACCACTGCATTGATAAAGTCATTCAGTATCTGTACCACTTCAGCCTTGCCTTCTCTGATAAGACAGTCAGAAGAGCGGAAATGGTAATTGTGATGTGGGAGGCAGGCCAGTCCTCGCTTACAGACAAACCCCCAACCTGAAGCAAATACTCACTAGCAACTACACACCACGCCACAGAAACACCAACCCAGGAACCAATCCCTGTAGCAAACCTCGTTGCCTGCTCTGTCCCCATATCTACTCTGGCGACACCATCAGAGGACCCAACCACATCAGCCACACCATCAAGGGCTCATTCACCTGCACATCCACTAATGTTATATATGTCATCATGTGCCAGCAATTCCCCTCTGCCATGTACATTGGCCAAACCGGACAGTCCCTCCACAAAAGAATAAATGGACACAAATCGGACATCAGGAATGGTAACATATATAAGCCAGTAAGTGAACACTTCAATCTCCCTGGTCATTCTATTACAGATTTAAAAGTCACTATCATTGAACAAAAAAACTTCAGAAACAAACTTCAAAGAGAAACAGCAGAACTAAAATTCATTTGCAAATTTAACACCATTAATCTGGGCTTGAATAGGGACGGGGAGTGGCTGGCTCATTACAGAAGCAGCTTTTCCTCTCCTGGAATTGACACCTCCTCATCTATTATTGGGAGTGGACTACATCCACCCTGATTGAATTGGCCCTGTCAACACTGGTTCTCCACTTGCGAAGTAACTCCCTGCTCTCCATGTGTCAGTATATAATGCCTGCATCTGTAACTTTCACTCTATGCATCTGAAGAAGTGCGTTTTTTACCCACGAAAGCTTATGCCCAAATAAATCTGTTAGTCTTTAAGGTGCCACCAGACTCCTTGTTTTTGTAGATACAGACTAACACGGCTACCCCCTGATACTTGACATGTGATGTGGTGTTCCACTAGGAACTCAGTTGAGTCCATCTAATTCATTTCAAATAGACTACCATAAAGCAACCATTAGACAGAAACAACTATTAGAAGAAGGGAGTTAACTACAGGATCAGGGTCTTAGGCCCAGTTCCAAAGGTATTTAGGTGCCAAACTTCCATTAACTTCTATTATGTTGGATTTGATTTGATCTCAGGACCTAGAGGTGAAAGGCCCCACATTCTGTTATCCATTCCTCCTAAAAAGCTACAGGGATTTTCCTATGTGAAATAATTACCTGCTAAAGGAACAGATCTTTGGTAAAAGATTAACATTTGAGCTCAATAAATCCAGTCATTTCACAGGTTTCTGCTGTTGCTTCCCTACATATATAGCCAATTATGTCCTATTAAATATTTTTTGAGTGTAAAAGCTGTCCAGTTTTATATCTTGTCCCATATAATTGAAATATCTACTCCGCCTATTTTATGAGGCAGGCATCTATTCCAATGGATGGAAAATATCAGTGGGTTTCCACTGGGTGGGACTGGATATTAAAAACACCCTGAACCCCAAGAATTAGATCAAATCTGGCAAAGAAGCATGAGACCAACAGTCACTTGCAATAACCCAAAACTGATTAGCTATCATTATGTCCCAAGGCACTCCTGAAATTTGAGTGGTGTTAAGATATTTTCATATGCACAATTGCAACACCAGAGGATGCCACACGTTTAGTTTCTAAACAGGCAGACACAACAGTGGGTGACTGAATTTACAAAGTGGTTTTGGAGTTGGTAACACCAATCATGAGGCTCAATAAAGAAGCAACCCTTTTCTTGCAGACATGCTGTTAAGAATCCAGGGGTCTTTACTCTGGCCTTGGCTACACTTGGGGATTCACAGCGCTGCCGCGGCAACGCCGCCACGGCAGCACTGTGAAGCACGAGTGTAGTCGCACCGCCAGCGCTGCGAGAGCTCTCTCGCAGCGCTGCAAGTACTCCACCTCTCCGAGGGGAATAGCTTGCAGCGCTGCGAGCGAGCGCGCAGCGCTGCAGGCACTGATTATACTGGCGCTTTACAGCGCTGCACTCGCTGCGCTGGGGGTGTGTGTTTTCACACCCCTGAGCGCAGCAAGTTGCAGCGCTGTACAGCGCCAGTGTAGCCAAGGCCTCTGTGTTTATCTAGTACTCACTCAGGAAATATTCTCATTGACTTCACTGAGAGTTGTCCCTGGGTGTGGACTGGTTGTGGGGATATGGCCCCCCAAATAATTCCTGGACTGACACTAGCTAGGATAAAAAATAAGGTTCATCAACCCAAATGCTTCAGGGAGCAAGATTATCAACAGGGGAGGAAGACCTCGTCCCCAGCTCAGCAGTCCACCTGAGTCAAGTCTTACACTTTCCTCCAACGTCTCTAGACTGCTGAAGCAAGGATAACTGACTAGATGAAGCACTGGCCCATGGCAGTACGGCAATTCCCATTGTTTTTTCTATTTGGGGAGAGAGGGAGAAAGGATTCTTCACTGCCCGAGAAAATGAGCAGCAACCTAATCCAGGAACTGGTCCCAAGGACTTTCTTGCTGCTCTCCTGAAAATAGAAGCGTATGCCCCATTCCCCCTGATGGTGTTACTAGGTGAGCTCAAAAAGTGGCAGTGTTATTAGGTCACCTGCACTGTGTTTGCAGGTATTAAGTCAGCTTCCCTTCCCTGTGGGACTATAGCCATTCCTGACAGCACAAGTTACAAGTTGTAAAGGCTTTTTAAGAGCTTAATGTAACCCTAATTCCTTGCAAAGGTCTAATACAAACCACGTGAGGGAATCCCCTTCACAAGGAGGCTGCTGTTTTTCTGTGGCTCCGGTGCCACATGCGGCTCTTCAGAAGTGAATATGCGGCTCCTTGTACGGGCACCGACTCCAGGGCTGGAGCTATAGGCGCCAACTTTCCAATATGCCAGGGTGTGCTCACTGCTCAACCCCTGGCTCTGCCCCTCCCCTGAGCCTGCTATGCCCTCGCTCCTCCCCCCCAGAGCCTCCTGCATGCCACAAAACAGCTGATTGGGAGGGAGGGGGAGGTGCTGATTGGTGGGGCTGCCGGTGAGCGAGAGGCGCTGGGAGTGGTGGGCAGGGAGCTGATGATGTATTACTGTGACTCTTTGGCAATTTCCATTGGTAAATTCTGGCTCCTTCTCAGGCTCAAGTTGACCACCCCTGCAATACAGCTTTCTGGCTGTCATGCCGGAGATTGCTGTCTGGGGTGAGCAGGAGGGCAGCAGGGGCTCAGGCTTTGCCAAAGTTATGGTGGGGGGAGAATTTTAAGTGTGAAATTAAGATTGGTTGGTTGGTTGGTTGGTTTTCCTAATCCTTGTGGCTTCAGTACGACATCAGCAGGCAGGGTGCTACTGTGGTGCAGCTGGGGTGGTGCTCAGAGATCTCCTGAGGCCTGTAGTCCTGCCCGTCCTATGAGAATCTTTTCCAGGAGCGCCTAAAGGGAGATAGCATGAGAAAGGGGGGGGTTAGAGCTCTGGAGTCCCACACACCTCCCCGTTACAGCGACAGCACTAGGTTAAAGAATTCCAAGCACCATGTGTGATGGGGTAGACCCTGAGCATCATGCAGCCTTGAGGCGCTCCTTCCAAATCCCCAAGGCACAAAGATCTGAACTACAGTAGTTAGGTGCACCTGGGCAGCAATGCTCAGGGGTTGTTTCAGTGGCCTGTGCCAGGCTTTCACTGGAGGGACATCAGGAGAGATTGGAAGGACTGGGAGGGTGTAGGGAGAGTATGGAGTGGGAGTCGCACAGCTGTTTGAGGTTGCTGAGGAGGAGGGGAGGAAGGAAAGGGAGAATCAGAAAGTGAATGGAGGATTGTGAGGTGGAGGATTGAAGGGAACTCAAAAAGGGCTCGATCCCCGGATCAGTGAAGTCAATGGCAGCACGCTTAGTGACTGCAGTGGGTAGCGGATCAGAACCAGAGTCCACATAAACATCTGAACCTTGCAGTGGTTACTTGAATGTGTGCTCAGAAAGGTCAGAAGTTATGGGCTGGATGCAGGAGTCCCTGGGTGAAGTTTTCCATCTGGTGTTATCTGGTCTGACCTCCTGCATGATTAGGGAGCTCCCCCGATCTGCACCTGGCTCCCTGCTTCAGGGAAAGCTGGGATGACTATTGGGCTTGGTCCTGGGAAAGGAGTGGCCCAACAGTTTGCCAGTGGGCTGAACTCTCATACCACCAGCCAGACTGAAGGGAGGAGGCGAACGGTGGGAGAAGGGCAAGGAGGAAACAAAATACAAATTTCCCTCCTGCTTCTGGCAGGTCTTGGCAGCACTGATTGCGGAGTTGGGGGTTTCTCTTGGTCCCCTATGTTTCACTAGAAAAGATGATTTATTATTGAAATAAAAAATAAAACAGGCCAAGGCTTCCTCTGTGGTTTTGGGGAAGTAGGTGATGTCAGGCTCATTAATCATGCATTGGCAGCAGCACTCTGTCATGAGGGGTGTGGCAGGAACACCCAGCCTGGGCAACTAGCGAAACTTCAGTGGTTGAGCTGCAGTTGGGGTCATCACAAGAAATAGGCAACTGAAAATTAATGAAATCTATGCAAAGCAAAATCTATGAGCTGTTAGGAAACTCCAGAATCAGCACCCTGGGAATATCACAGAAAGAAGGGGTTCAGGCTGCACAGGCCCAGGAAACAAATAGCTATTTCTGGAACAGTTCTCCCAACTCTTCGCCATTGCCTCGTCCACAGCACTTTTGCAGGAGCCCCTCCTCTCTGATTCTCCCCCTCCACTTCCCTCTCCCTCCTCCAAGCTCTCATTAAGGAGACCAGCAAGGAGTAAGGCCAGACCACATCCATTTGGATATTTCCAGGTTTGTTTTTTGAATTTGTGTTTTAATACAGTGATCACGACGCAAGGGACCATCAGCCCCAGTTAGAGCTGTGCATAGGGCAGTTCCTAGAAGGTGCAAGCTTCCTGATACGTTCCTATCACAGCATCTCAGTCCCATCCTGCAAAAGCCCAATAAAGACAATAGACATCTAGGTGATTGTAATCTTTTCTGTGGCAAATCAGAGAGTGCAGAGCTGCGCTAGAGCCGTCACACTCTGTGTGGAGAATGCAAATCCTGTCAGCAGCACAGCACCCAGTTTTTAAGTTAGTTGCAGGTGCGTGGAACTGGCTCACATTCAGAAACTAATGGTTTGGAAGCAGCTATCACAGCATCACACTCCTGAATGAATCTGGAATCTATAAAGTCTCCAGCAAGGCAGAACCGGTGACTCTTATCCAATCACCAGCTTAAAGGTTCCACATACAAGACTGCATCCCAGATTCATTTTTAGGCTATTGTTTGAATCAAAATTGTTATGAATTACTCCCGAGAGGAGGAGTATTAGATTTCATACTATGTGTGCTTTTGTATTACCTTCCACACTTCATTCCAGGACACAGCAGCTTTCCTGTCTCCAGTGCTACAAATCTCTGTACCTCCAGGAAGTGAAATGCACACACTAGAAGAAAGCATCCCCATCTCTGTAGCAGAAAGTACAGAAGTAACTAGCTGGCTGTGTTACAGTACCACGTGCTACATTGCCATCTCACACTCACTGCAGCATCTGGTTATCCTAATGCATCTGTGCCTGCCTGTCTGTGTAACAGGAGGGAAATGTATTCCACATGCCACTGCCCTCAGTCCTGCTCAAACTGAAAGGAAGAGGAAAGTACCCACCTAGGTTGCGGTTTTGGGTGATGCTAACAGCTCTACGAAAAGCAGAAATAAGACAGAGAATTGGGCAGGAAATGAGGTCATCACGTATAAGCCTGTGGCTGCACTGATGTCATCATGCAACTTAGTGGCAGGAAGTGATATGGGACCAGGAGTCAAAGAGGAAACCGAATCAAACAACTGAGGTTAACAAACTTGGCATTCATCATGTGGCATCTCCAGGGACTTTCTAAGAAACCAAGATTGGGTTTGGCTCCCCGACGTCAGTTAGCTTGCTTTGCACACCAGGTTAAACGACACCAACGGTAAAGGGATGAGGGTGCAGCTGTGCTGACCGCATGTCAGTGTTAATGACAACTTCTACCTCTTGCTGGTTCCCTTTCCCTACCCACTCAAGGGAAAGCATTAAAGGACCAGCTTCCTGCAAACTTCATTCTGCACAAGTCTTTGTGCGAGAAATGGGCTCAAGCTGACAAGGTCAAATCTGGATTCAAACTTTTCCAAGGGTCTGGTGTATTCAGAACCAGGGTTTTAGCTGTTGCCCATCTCTAGTTTTTTATGACAATGGTATTACTTTTACCTAGCACTATTCATCCTGGAGAATCTCAAAGCACTTTACAATCAGATATACACACTAAATGCTGTTGTCATTTCATCCACCACTAAAATGTTAGCATCTCTGGTGAAATCCCAGCAACCGTTTAACAGCACACAATACTAACCTAGAGCTTAGGACTGGAAGAGGAGAGGAATAGCGTACTGGAGGCAGCATGGAATTATCCAGAATGGAATTTATCCATGACAATAACAACTTCCACACTCTCCTGAAAAGAGCAGAGGAGCCTTCACTCCTATTTTTAAGGCCAGAAGGGACTTCATCTAGTCTGACTTCTTGCATAACATAGCCCAGAGAATTTTATCCAGTGATTCATGCATCAAGCCCATAATTTCTGATTGATCTTAAGTACATCCAAAGTGGCCAGAACCTCAGTCTCATAATTTGTTGGAAAACCAGAAGTACAATGCTTCCTCTCTCTGCCTGTAACAGCATCCTGGAATATTCAGTACTCATACAGAGGGAAGTGTCATATACTGGTTTGCTAAGCCTACATGATGCAGTGTTCCTTGGAGGTCTCACATTCAAGTACTGACACACCCAACACTGCTTAGTTTCTAAGATCCAGCAGAGTCCCAGTATTTGGTGTTATAGATGCTGGGATATATGCATGGTTTACTGTTAGGATGGTTGTATATTTTAACCCTGTGATAATTCTGTTTATCTAATCCCAAACCTCCTGTGGCAGGCGGTGAAATAGAATTCAGGTCACTGCTCTCTTGGAGATATCCTTCCTGGGTTTCTTTCTCCTGGACCAGTAGCTGAGGCTGTAAAGAAAAAAAAAAAACCACCAACAAACAACACAGAAATCATGTCAGAGAAGATAAAATACAAATCAACCCAACCAAACGAATTAGATCCAAACAAAAAAATCTTTAATTAGTGCCTTTTAAATGATTAGCTGTGCAGGAGTGAGGACAGGCCCATCTTCTCAGCCTGTGCCCGTGTTGGCTGTACGTGCGCATGTGCTCAATGTGTATTGTGTGTGGTGTCCGGATGTGTTCCTGTGGTGTATGCGTATGTGATGTGTGAGAGTGTGGCAATAGTTGTTGAAGGCGTTCAGTTATTACGATATTTGTGAGGAAGGCAGCCCCGCAGCCTATGCAATGTTGGCTTAATGGGGAACACTCTCCCCTATGATGCAGGTGCACAAGACAGCAAATCCCAGGAAATCCCATAGCCTGCCTGTGGAATATCAGAAATAGAAATCGATTGCAGTCTATGAAACGAGAGGGTAGCCATTCAGCTCTACTCTCGTCTCATTTCTAGCCCATTTAACCCATTTGCAGATGGAAAATAAAGAGGATCTTATGTGCACTAGTGTGCTGGATATACAGAAAGTTTGATACTCATGTCAATTTGCCATAGGTCCTGAAACTATCAAGATAAACCCATTGGTCTACTATCCTCAGTGTGATATAAAAGCATCAAGGAGGAATAAAGGAGGGCATCACAATGAGACACAAGCCATTTGTCAGATTTCACCATCGGTATGCATAGATTCCAAGTCCAGAAGGGACCATTGTGATCATCTAGTCCAGGGTGGGCAAACTTTTTGGCTTGAGGGCCACATCTGGGTATGGACATTGTATGGCGGGCCATGAATGCTCACGAAATTGGGGGTTGGGATGTGGGAGGGGGTGAGGGCTCTGCCTGGGAGTGTAGGCTATGGGATGGGGCCAGAAATGAGGAGTTCGGGGTGAGGGAGAGGGCTCTGGGTTGGGGTGGGGGGTTGGGATGTGGGAGGGGGTGAGGGGCTCTGGCTGGAGGTGCAGACTCTAGGGTAGGGCCAACGATGAGGGTTTGGGATCCAGGAGGGGGCTGCAGGCTGGGGGTGGAGCAGGGGGGTTCAGAGTACGGGAGGGGGCTCCAGGATGAGGCAGAGGGTTGGAGTGTGGGAGGGGATATGGGCTCTGGGGTTCCAGGGTGGGGCCAGAAATGAGGGGTCAGGGTGCAGGAGGGGGCTCTGGGCTGGGGCAGGGAGTTGGGGGTCAGGGGAGGGGGCTCTGGGCTGGGGCTGAGGAGTTTGGAGTGCAGGAGGGGGCTCCAGGATGGGGGAGGGGTTGGGATCTGGGGTGGGGGGTGAGGGCTCCAGCTGGGAGTGTGGGCTCTGGGGTTGGGCTGGGGATGAGGGGTTTGGGGTGCAGGAAGGTGCTCCGGGCTGGGATCAAGGGGTTCGGAGGGTGAGAGGGGGATCAGGGCTGGGGCAGGGGGTTGGGGCGTGGGAGAGGTCAGAGGTGCAGGCTCCGGGCAGCATTTACAGGACGCAGCAGTATGTCTCCCCTCTGGCTCCTATGCAGAGGCGTGGCCAGGCAGCTCTGCGCGCTGCCCGGTCTGTGGGTGCCACCCCCGCAGCTCCCATTGACAGGGAACCGTGGGCAATGGGAGTGGCAGAGCTGGTGCTTGTGGTGGGGGCAGTGTGCGGAGTCCCTGGCTGCCCCTATGCGTAGGAGCCTGAGTGGGGACATGCTGCTGCTTCCGGGAGCTGCATGGAGCCACAGCGCATGCAGAGCGGGGAAAGCCCCAAACCCAACTCCCCGGCCGGAGCGCCAGAGCGGGGCAAGCCCCCGACCCTGCTCCCTGGCGGGAGCTTAAGAACTGGATTAAAAAGTCTGACGGGCTGGATGCAGCCCGCGGGCCGTACGTTGCCTACCCCTGATCTACTTTGACCTTCTGAACAACATAGGCCACAGAGCTCCCCCCAAAAAATCCCTTTTGAACTAGAACATGTCCTCTTTTATTTTTTTTAAAGGCATCCAATCTTGATTTAAAAATTGCCAGTGATGGAGAATCCATCATGACATTTGGCACATTGTTCCAATTACCCTCACTTAAAAATGTATACCTTATTTCTAGCTTCAATTTCTCCATTGGATTATGTTATACCTTTGCCTGCTAGATTATAGAGCCCATTATCAAATATTTGTTCCCCATGTAGGTACATATGGAGTGATAACATTCTCTTATGAATTGGTTGACTTGCACCTGTGCTCTAGTTTTCTCCCTTGCTGGTTCTTCTGTGCACCATGGTACTCTAACTACTAAGGATGCTTCATGGAAAGAGGGCTCCTAGATACCACTATGTCAGGGGTGTAGGTCCAAACATTAGGCTAACTCCAGCTCCTGGAGTCCTATTAGTGTTTTACAGGTGTATGTTAAACACCAAAAGACGTTGTGTTTTACCCATCTGGGCTGTAATTTAATCCGTTTTCATAAGATAAGGAAGATTTGGGCCAGAACAGTACGTGGAAAGGTGACCTCCAAGGAAGAAACAGGAGATGGAGGAAGTAGTATTGGTGGCTCAGTAAGGATTTCTGTCAATACTAAGCCAGTGGCCCCGTCTGGCACCAGGGAGAGCTGCGCTGCAGGTTAAGATGTAAAACTGAGGTCCTGGCCAATTGTGGTCATTAAACATCCCATGGCATTTTTTTCAAGAGCAGTGGTGTAAGCCACAAATTCCATCTTGGGAAATTATATTTTACCTCCCTGGATTGCCCTTGTAGTTTCATATGCATAAAATGTCTTTCATTTTCTCCTCTCCTAAAACTCTTGTGTAATGTTGCTGTGTTCTGTTAAATACCTGCTCTATTCCACCCAACCTCATCCTAGGCATTGAATGAGACAGGGGTCCTGTAGAAAAAAAGAGTATGGGATCATATAATTAAAGACTGTATCATAATGCATCAGCACAAAGGAATGAAATTATAGTTGCACAGGCATCCTTAATGCTGGCATTCCTAATTTTTTGAGTGTTTGACTTTGCAGCTTTAATGTTCTTATAACTAGAGCTGGTTAAAATCAGAATTTCTGTCCTGTGGAAATGGCAATATTGTGAAATTTGGTTTTGGTCTGAATTGAGACGGAAAAGTGAAATATCAACATTTTTCACAGAACAATAAGTGCAAAAAAACAAAAAAAGGTTGATTCAAAACCTTTCATTTCAACATTGCTGAATCAAACTCTTTCATTCTGGTTTGTTGAGCCCATTGAAATGTTTTGTTTGAGGCTGGTTCAACATTAATTAGTGCCTGCATAAGCTGCTATGGTGTCTCATAGAAGTTTCAATTCAAGGTCCCCCTATTCTCCCCTGTGGGCTGGCGCTCCCTGGTTGGATCACATCTTCATGATGCAGATACGTGGTTATGTTAACTCCCATGATGCATCACATGATTTCAACCGGAGAGGAGACCATGGTGCATAATGGGAGATGCAGTCTAGTCAGGGAGTCTGGCCCATAGAGAAGAACACGGGCAGGAAGCACCTGAACTACCATCTCCCATGAGGCACTGCATTAGCTCAGATGGACACAGACTAACGTCAAACTGCTCTGAAACAAAACTTTTTGATTCAATTTGATCTGAAAATGTTCTAATTTGGGTCAACCCAACCCAAAATGATCTACTTTGTTTAGATTTTTCTGATGGGAAATAAAAAACATTTCATGTGGGAAAAAATTTAATGTTATGAAAACTGCAATTTCCAGTGAAAAAACATTGATGGAAAATTCCCAACCAGTTCTACTTTTTAATGTAGTTTTTTGGGATGTAATATATAAAAATGTGACAGGATGTTTTAGCTGTGAAAGGACAGTGCAAGGTTATGCCCCATAGGACAATTCTTATTTTACTTGGTTTTGTGTTCAAGAACCCTCGGTAACTGTATTTGGATACTCACTGCCTTTTCATGCCTTTTCTGTCTGTCTGAGGTAGTTAGTTATATGGCCCTCATTAACATAGTATCTTAGTGTCTCACAATCTTTGATATATTTATCCTCATAACACCCCTGGAAGGCAGGGCAGGGCTGTTATCCCCATTGTATAGATAGGGAAACTGAGGCACAGAGAGACAGACTGATTACCCAAAGTCATACAGGAAGTTTGTGGCAGAGCAGAGAAATCAAGCCCCAGACTAGTACCCTAACTGCTGGACAATACTTCCTCTGCTGGAACAGCCTTTTCTGCCTAGCTCAATTATTTCATGTTTGGAGAATCTTAGTCCTTCTCTCTCAGTTCTTCCTACTCCTCCTCACCTCACTTCCTCTTTAGAGCCTCAGGGAGGTATCTGCATGCCTTTAAACTCATGCTTGGCTGCTCCCCCCCCTCCACACATTGCACTTCAAATGCCACCTGGGGTGATCCTGGTCTCTACCCATGTCAGGCACACTGAACAGTTGCAAAGTGGGCTGAAAGTCATGGCTGAGCCAGTCTTCTTCCTACATGTTGGTGTCAGTTTAACCACAGGGCAGACTGTGCCAGCAGGTGTTTGACAGCTGGTTAGTGCTCTGAATCTAGCACAACATTTCTCTCCCCCCCAGTCATGCTCTTTAGGGAGCCTCAGTTTTCTGTATATTTACTTGCTTAGATTTCTGCAGCTCTATAATAATAATGCACCCAACCTAGGCTTTCCAACTGCTACTAAACTCATTGTTCAGATAAACAGAGGCATCACTGCCACGATGACAATGTTTCATGCACTCATTCCAACAGAGACCCCACCAGAGCTCCGCTCACACAAGTATCCGGCCTCACCCATCTCCTTACTGGCCTGGGAGAAAAGATGGGTCTTGCGGTAATAACTAGAGATGAACAAACTCAGATTATTACAGACCATTGGGTAAATTTACCAGGAGTGTAAACCAACCACCACTGCCAACTCTCATCGAGGACTGGCAGCTTCTTCCTTTGCATACACCTACTGTAGCTTAATGGTAACACAATTCACTGGCATAGGACACCTCTGTCTATCCCCCATGACTGAGACGGGTGAC